TCCCATTTTCCTTGTGGGACATTGATGACCAAATGTCCATTGAATGTACAAAATGAGGGAACAATCATGTTTAATTACTACAAGCCTGGAGACTTCCTGATTAGTGGAATGATATCTACTTGCCCTACTATACTCCAACGGTACATTTTCTCCTTGCCTCCGACAAATAGATTTCTAAGGTAATTCCTGATGTGTACTTAACCATCTAATTGATTTTATCCTTTCCAGTGCCTTCTTTTTAATAAGGAATTGTTCCTATTTCCTGGTATGTGGCACTGTTGATCTGCTCATCCTTTTTTCTCCTATGTGGTTTAAGGAAAAGGCTTAAGGGTTGGTGTGGCCTTGGCTGACTCTCTGGGATACCAGCAAGAGTCCCCAAACATGCTTTTAGCAGATGGCACAGAAGTGAGATTCCTTCCCACCATATCTTCTCATTCTCTACAATGCTCTCTATAACCTGCTGCTAACTGTATCCCTTCTTCTCTTTCTCTCCCTCCCTCCCTCTCTCTCTCTCTCTGTCTCCCTATCATCTCTCTCTCTGTCCCTCTCTCTAATCTAATCTCTAGTCATCCATCCATCCATCTGTACCCTTCATCTCTCAACTCTCTCTCTCTTTCTCTCTCTCCCCCCCTATCTATCATCTATCTATCCTCTAACCATCATCCATCCATCCATCCATCCATCCATCCATCCATCCATCCATCTATCTTCTCCCTCTTCTGGGCTGGTGAGCACAGTCCTCAACAACTGGTTTATTACTTTCTTTTGTAAAATGGCTTGTTGGACACTTCGGTTTCCAGAAGAAAGAAGAGGCTGGCATTCAGCTGTGGATGGAGATAGTCCAGCTTCCTGTTTAATCTTTGCTTAAAGTAAAGAAATACTTTTTTAACAAAATAAAGAAGTCAGGAGTGTGACAGGCACCAAGGGAGGTGGACATGGGCATATTGTATGTTGAGACTGTGAAAGGACTCTCTGATTGGGAAGGGAATTCAGGTAAGACCAAAACCATTTTGGCTCCTTTTTAGTAACTGGTTACTTTTATACTCCTTGAGGTATAAAATGTGTTATTAATGTCATGATACGGCTATGATATCCTACTTTTATAATCTTGTTTTATGTATTTTATTTCAGTCAACAACCAGCATAATCTAACATACAAACTAAAGTTTACAACCCTCTCATACATTAAAAAAAAAATGCTTCCAAATTATGATGAAAGTAACAAATAAATTAAACTGAATATTAATAGCAGAGAACTACAGAATCATTGCAAGGGTAGATTATTACAGTTGGTTGTAACTAATATGAAATGTAAAACTACGTGTAGTATAAATCTTAGTATTAGTATGTGAGACAATAGTCTTCCACTCTTGAAAAGTCATGAAATGTTACATTATTCTATGCAGTATACTCACTGAAAAGAAGTTAAATAGAAAGTGAAATACTATTTTGTGTCAAAGGTATATTAAGACATAGCACTAAAAGGTACAATTCTAAGTGACTAAAGTTATTAAGCATAATAGTTAAGAATCCAACAGTGCAAGTGTCTTAATGCAAATGCAAATGATCTCTAGTAATGAAAGCCAAGCACCATAATGAAAAAAAAAGGGACTAAGGTTAACTATAAGAAGGCCAAACTGATGACCACAGACCTTGTTCTTTCAATCTGGTGCACTCATCGCCACTTTAACTGAGTCTATCCACCTTCCTGCTGATCATCCTCTTCTTCCCTTTCCTTCCTTTCCCAGCATTAAAGTCTTCTCCAGAGAGCTACTTCATTGCATAATGTGTCTGAAGTAGGATGATTTGAGGCTGGTCATATGTGCTTTGAGTGAGAACTCTGGGTTGATTTATTTGATGATCCATTGGTTTGTTTTCTTGACTGTCCACAGTATTCTCCAACACCAAAGGTCAAAAGTGGCAATACTCTTCCTGTCCTGCATCTTCAAAGTCCAATTTTCCCTTGCATAGAGTATCACGTACCATGACTTTCACTATTCTGATTTTTGTAGAGAGGACAAAAAGCTCAAAATCTTGTCTAAAATCTTATTTCTTTCGTATCTACTTCCTTGGTAGATAAGAAGGAAACACGTTGTTAAGAAAACAAAGGCAAACATGTCATCTGAACAAGACAAAGGAAGTTAGGCCTGAGGACAGGGGAATAACCCCAATCCCATTTAATCAACAAAGCAAGCACTTTGGAGGATAAAAAGGGTCCTGAAGCCTGCCCACTCCTTCTGTCCCTCTAGCTAGTCCCTGGTAGCCACATCAGAAGGATGTGGGTATGTGCAGATAAGTGTGTGTGTGTGTATGTGAGAAAGAGGAAATGTACATTGTAACCAGTACAGTTTTGCTGCTACTTTAAATTCACTGGGTCTCCGTGTATTCCAAAGAACCTGGTGTTCTGTTGAATGTGATTTGTGTGTGTCCCTAATTATTTCCTGGCTGTTGACCAGGGCTGTGTGTCTTGTCTGTTTTAGCTGCACCTATCAGGAAAACCCAGGTAGAAAGCAAGGGGGGGCTCACAAGATCAGCGTGCCTCAACAGGCTGTAAGTGTGTGAGTGAGTGACCATAAACCAAACCTGGGAGCACATGTAACACTTGCAGATCCTTTACATTTTCTCATCATCAGCAAAGCTCAGGTTATTGATACATCTTCCTCCTAAATCCACACTCATCTTCCAATCCAGCTTCTCTTAATACAGTGTAAATTCAGGATATAGGCTGAATAAATAAGGGGAGAGTATACAGCCTTGTCGCACTCCTTTGTCCACCTGAACCAGGCTGTTTCACCATGTTCTACCCATACTGTGTCTTCCTGATCTGTATATCAATTGCTCATGAGGACAAGGAGATATTCTGGGATTGGAGAGATTAGCGTTATTTGAATCTCTTTAACAAATGACCAATAAAAAGGGGCAAGTTGGAGTGTTTCAATCTACCCAGATCACAGGGTATTATTCTGGAAGAGCTATTTCTTTATCTTCCATCAAGAACAGCCAAAGAGAGAACATTATAGTATGCCAAGCTGAAGACTCATGTAGCCATTGGAACTTCCAGCCGTCTAAAATTGGGTAGAGGAGTTACTGTACACTTTTGCTTGCTGGTGAAAGGGAGATTATTATTATTAAGAGCCGTCAAGTCAGTGTTGACTCTTAACAACCAAACAGATTGGTTTTCTCCAGGATGACCTGTCCTTCACCTGTCCTTTAGGGAGGTTAGGAACCCTATTTTAAAAAACAAAAAGAAAAACTGGGGGCAATCCATTTGGTAAGTTTGTGATTCAGTGCATTGAGCAAATTCCAGACATTCAGTCACCAAGTTAAGACTACTGTAGCAACCAGCCAAAATATATATGAAAGAGGACTACATCAGAACCTCTTGAATATAGAGCAATGCCAATGAAACATATAAAGTTTTGTTAGAATATTTCCTTTGAATATTTATACAACCTGTCATCAAATAAATTCTAGATGAGATACTGAACAAAAAAGAGATATATTGAATAGAAACTTGTTTGTACATTTGGGGATGGTTTTTGAAAGTTAATTTTACACAAATGAACCTGGTTGCTAAGATACTTAGTGCAGCTACGTGCTTCTGGATCCTTAATGTAAATGTGTTAATTTTGCTGCAAGTGTATTCCTCTAAGTCATCTTTACAGAAAATAGTGGTTTGTATCAGCTTTAGGGCTTATGATGAGGATCACTTTGAGTCTGATGTAAAAGCATTTCTTCCTGTTATTTGTCTTGGGAGGAACTCCCACTGGCGTCAATGAAACTGGGATCGAATGAGAACATTCAGAAAATGGTATGACCTAGAAAGGCCCTGAAAATAAATTATTGGGAATTTGGTATTGTTTCATTGATCGATGAATGTCTGATCATATTTCCTGCCTTTGAACTTGAGTGAGATTGAGCTTCAGGTAAACTCCTGCCCTTCTTGGCCCTTCATGAGATCAATCAGATTAGTTTCTTTCTTTTCTGATCCAGTATATCAACATTCCACAGAATTAAAAGTGTGGATTTCTACTATCCAGAGTATAGCCATAAGAAAAGGATCCACCTGATTTTATGAACTGAAGATGAGAATGCGAACTGAAGATGAAGGCCTCTTAATATCTCTTATCTTGCAGTATAAAAAGTATGAGCTTCTCCCACGTCCTGCCCTTTTTCTTTGCCATTCATAAGATCAACCAGAATCCAAGGCTCTTACCCAACATCACCCTGGGCTACAACATCTATGAGAACTTTTTCAATGCAAGAATGACATACGAGGCCATGATTGAGTTGCTGTCTACAGGACAGGAGAATATCCCAAACTACAATTGTGGAAGACCAAAAGGTCTATTGGCAGTGCTTGAGGGGACTGATTCTGAGCTGTTTCATCATGTTACAACCATGTTGCGCATCTACAAAATCCCACAGGTATAAATGGACATTGAAGTTAACTCCATTTTGTAAAATCTCCAGATACTCTAGATGGTGGAACTGGTAGGTTTCACAAAATAAAATGAATCAGAGGATTGAGATTAAAGGTCATGTTAAATAGTATTGTTTTCATAATGTAGGCATTTTTTTTTTCTGTCTCTGGCATCAATACTCCAATAATTTTTTAAAATTACACTGGTGTCATGGGCTTCCCCTACTTTGCTACTGAATTGCTGAACTGGAGTCAGACTAAAGGCCTCTACATAATATTTGCATTCCCCTGGCTATCCCTCTTCTGCCTCTTTCTCTGTCTTCCATTCACTCCAGTCACCTGACTTCCCTCCAAGAGAATGGAGGACAGAAAGGATGTCCCCCCTTATTCTAACCACGTGCAAGGAAGCCTCAAGGATTGCTATGGAGGAAAAAGAGGGTAAAGCTTTCTTCAAGAGGGTCTTTCCCCACTTACACCTAAAGACAGTACAGATTTCAGTGACATCTTTTTTCTACTGAGTTCCCATAATGTTCCAACAACCTCAATCCACAAGATACAAATCGCTGAACAGTATATTAGTAGTATTTTGTACTTTGTTCTGACACTGTCCAAGGTGTGTTAAATCTACTGTACTTCACTTCCTGTGACCTTGGGGGGAATGTAGATAACTACATTCAGGGAGGCTGGGTATGGTATGGGTCCCCCTTCCATTAAGGAGGTCCATCTAGTGGAACTGAGAAGAAGGGCCTTCTCTGTGGTGGCTCCCTCCCTGTGAAACATCATCCCCACAGAGATAAAACTGCCCCCCATCTTGATACTCTTCCTCAAGGCCCTGAAGACATGGTTTTGCCAGTGGGCCTGGGGATCCCAGGTTTGTTTGTTTGTTTATCATATTTATATAGCTGCCCATCTCACATAAAAGTGACTCTGGGCAGCATACAACAATTTAAAAAGAATGAATAAAAATCAGTTACAAGTAAAAATAATGACAAAAGCACACAAAACAGGAGGGGACAATATTAATAAGGCAGCCACTGCAAAATCTCCCTGGTCCCCTGGGAGCCCCAGGCCTGATCAGATAGCCAGGTCTTGAGGGACTTGCAGAAGGTTGAGAGGGAGAAGATTCCATAAGGCAGGTGCCATGGCAGAGAAGGCCCGCCTCCTGGGACCTGCCAAATGTAATTGATAGGGAGCCCATCAAATGGTTGGTGCAAATGTGTTGTTGTTGCCAGGGGGTGGAGCAGGGTAGTGGGTTTTGTATTTTGGTTTTTTGTTTCTGTAAGCCACATGGAGTCACCATGAGTGAGTTGGGTGGCCATAATAATTGCTTAAATAAATAAATAAACTATCAATGATTGAGAAGAGAGACAAAACACAGTTCAAGGCTAGGTGTAAAGCAATTCTCTGCAGTGGGAAAAAGGCCTTAGGTTTAAGCACTGATTTTTCTTTCTAAAAGCAGGACAATAACCCAACTTTCTATTTCATTGTAGATCAATTATGGGGTTATCAGTCACACTCCTGAGCATAAACAGCATTTTCCTTTT